TAGTACCCATCTGGCCCCATACATAGTTAGTACAATATTATTGACTATATTCCCAATGCTGTACTTTATATGCCTGTGATGTTTTTATAATTGGCAATTTGTACTTCTTAATCCCGTTCCATTTTTCACCCTCAGTTTTATTTTTGTTCCCAGGATTTGCAAATCGTTTTTCAAAACCCAAAGGACCAAGGAACCCACCACCAACCTGGAATATTTAACACAACTTTGGACTATAGGCTGCAAGTGCATCTGCAAATAAAATGATTAAAATATGGTTAGCTAAAATAAGTGATCTATATTCATACTATCAACAATGAAGATATGGTAACATGTTGGTAGCTTTTAAAAAGAAAAGCAATACGCAAATAAGTGCCAGAATTTTTATGTTTAGTCTCATTTACAGTGGGTTGAAAACCACTTGAGCTCTTGAGCTCATATAGAGAACACTGTATGAGAATATTTTAGAATGGACTTATTTTTCATTTTTAGAATTTATTTTTATTTGACTTTATTTTTCTACATAAACTTTAAAAGATTTATAAGAATTGGATCTCAATTAAATGTCTACATTGCCAGAATTTACTATAAAAAGTGTCTTAAAAAATCTTGTGGTTGCAGTACAAAATTACTGCTTGTGAGAATGACTCATCCCTGGGAGTTATATTTGCCTAAATGGAGTATACCTTGCAGATCTTCCCAAATGTTGTGGAAAACTATAAAGAAGTTATATTTAAGAGAATAAAATATGTAAATAATTACTGTAATATATTTTTATTTGTATATACCAACTACCAAGATGTTTAATTACATTCCTGGTAAGTTTTAACCATTCAATTATCAAATCTAGAATACTACTAAAATAGCTCTGTTTTGGTAGTATTTTCTTCACTTCAAAGGTTCTATATAAACAAATGCAACTTATATCCAACTAATCAGAGGTACTACTAATTAAAAATTTTTTTCTATATGAATATGTATCTGCCATAATTTAAGAGTATCTGATCTTTCAAATCTAACTTTAAGTAACAAGTTAAATTAAGTAATAAATTAAATTATGGCATATCCATATTCATGCTCATAAGTTAGTGGGTATTACAACGGGTTCCCCTAAGCCCTAATGATTTAACTTTTAAAAAAATAAAAGTTTGTAACTTTTAGAAGCATGAAGTACTTAAACAGCATTTGTTCTTCAATATTTTTCATCTAGGAAGCCTAATGAAGACACAAATTGGATAAAATATTGTTACTTGTTTATTGTAGTATAATGTACACAATAGGGACTCCATAAACTTTGTTTTCAAACTATCTTTACTGTGTTCATTTCGCTGAATACTTCTCCAGGCACTGGTGGTAACAAACCACAGTAATTTTATCTGAGTACTTCACTGTAATCAATTACCTTTCAATAACCAAATACCTTTATCAAGGACCAAATGTATTAAAGGGATCTTAGATAAAAGTCGAAGTGACGATGAAATTGTCAATGAATCTTTCAGCGGAAACCTTGGTAAACAGTGACAATTTCTGGAGTGTTGTTCTCTGGTGAGACACACTTCTCAAATTTATGCAACCTTATACTTACAACTTGAAAAAAATCTTTAGAAATGATGGTTTTCCATCTAGATGTCCCCCCCTGACTGTAGGAATGTGTTAAAAATATGCTGGACTTTACCTTTTCTGGCATTAACAGGAGTTGCGTGGACCGCGAGGTCGGGAGGCGCGCTCGCGACTCCCAGGCAGTCCTTGTACCTGCCTTGCTACGCTCTTAGCTGTAACCATGGCAATGCCCAGGGGAAGGGTCAAAACCAGTCCCTTAAGATTTTAAAGCAAAATCACCCTCATTTTACACATTACTAAGTCCACCTTTCCTCATCTTCGCTTGTGTGAGGATAAAAGGCCGAAGATTCTTTTACCTCACAAACGTTAGGAGAGGCATATGACATTTAAAGGTAACTATGGAGACCACCAACTTGGCGTAAAATGACGAAGGGCACAAGCGAACGATAAGGAGAACGCGCCGCCAGACTCTGAACACCATTAACAGTTGCGGCCGTTAAGGCGGTTGGCGGCAACTCTCCGCCCAGCGGCGGTTGCGTCGCAGCCCGAAGCGTGACTCGGCGCACGCTCTCTTTCCGCTCCTCCACTCCGGGAGCCAGAAAGGCGGCAGGGGACGCGGGGGAACTACCGCTCCCATGAGGCTCTGCGTGGTCCAGGGTGCTTTACAATAGAGCTGGGGTGGCGAGGCCTGCGAAGCATCGCTGGGAACAGCCGCTTCCGGCATGTTCAGCTCCGGACTAACAGCGGCCGACAAGTGGAGGGCAGAGGAGAGACTCCAATGCCCAGAGGGCCGTGCGCGGGTAGCGCTTGCGCGGTACACGGACGGGGGGGCGGTCGGGCCATTTAAATGTGTGTTTGTGGGTGAAATGGCTGCGCAGGTCGGAGCGGTGCGCGTAGTACGGGCGGTGGCGTCGCAGGAGGAGCTGGACAAAGAGGGGAAGGAGAAACCCCGTGTTGGGGTCTCGCCGCGGGGAGTGAAGCGGCAGCGCCGAGCGAGCAGTGGGGGTTCTCAGGAGAAGCGGGGGCGGCCGAGCCAGGATCCCTCTCTCGCTCCCCCTCACCGGCGGCGTCGCAGCCGCCAACATCCCGGGCCGCTGCCGCCAACAAATGCAGTCCCAACCATCTCAGGCCCTGTTGAGCCTCTGCTCCTGCCGCCTCCGCCACCGCCTTCGCTGGCACCCGCTGGGCCCCCTGTCGCTGCCCCGCTCCCAGCCCCAGGCACCTCGGCCCTCTTCACCTTCTCGCCCCTGACGGTGAGCGCGGCCGGGCCCAAGCATAAGGGCCACAAGGAGCGGCACAAGCACCATCACCACCGCGGCTCCGATGGTGACCCCAGCTCCTGCGTTCCGGGTGATCTCAAGCACAAGGACAAGCAGGAAAACGGCGAGAGGACTGGAGGGGTGTCTGTGATCAAGGCCCCCAAGAGAGGTGAGAGCAGGCGAACTGCCCGAGCTTGAGCTCTAGGTCTTAGTACAGTTATCCCGCCCCTTTAGCGCTGCAAGACGCCAAACCCCTGCTTACCTCCCGCCGCTCTACTCCCCCAAGCCCAGTGGGGTGGACTCTGGATTTCAGACCGTTGCGTTGACACAGTCTGACCTACTTGAGGCTTCTGGCTTCCAGGCCGAGCTGTCAGTTACTACCTAACCCTCTTAACCCGCGCCCCCCTCCTCCCCCCAAGCTTTTACCAACGTTTGTTTTCAAATTAGGCAGGGTTTCTGCGCGGTGCGGTCCTTGGCATAGGGTTAGTAGATGGAGTATTAAAAACTGCCTTTCCAAAGTAAAGGCTTGTCGCTAAAGACCTTTCTTCCAGTTTTCCTTGATGGAAAACGTTAATATTCACCCCTCTACTCCAGCATCTTCACGGGTATTGGTGATGTGGGACTTGAATGAGTTTGAATTCTCAGAGACGTTACTAGACTCACTGGTTG